ATACTTCGTGTTACGAATTATTACGGTTGAATTAATTGCAATTCGTAAGACGAAGATAAATCGAATTGCTCGAAAATGATGCAGACTCATGTAGCCTCGAATTATAAATTTTATATATATTTTTTTTTATACGATATTTTCATATTCTCATTGTTCAATTCCCCTTATCCCTTGTGCAAAAATTTATTAAAAATAATAATTCATCGAAATTTAAACGATCGTTTTCCCGTAAAAATCCCTTTCACGACCAATTTTCAAAACAAACACGAGCAACATGATTAACGCGTGCACACGATCCACTCTCGAAACTCTATACTTTTCTTTTTTTTGTTTGTTTGTTCCAGGTAAGTGATCCATTTATTTTGACGAGGAGGGCCGGAGTTCGCCTTCATCCTTGGAAACACGTAAGAGGAATTTTTCTATTTTTGTCCAGTACAACAGCATGTAACCGGCGGGGATATTTCCATGTTTAACAGAAATACCAGTCTGTACAAGTTTTTGCGGCCGAGAGAGCCGTGCAAGAAACGGAGGGGGGGGGGGGGATAAAAGGCTAAGGAAAGTTCGTGGTCGTTTCACTTCTCGCCTTTATCCGTCTTTCCTTTCGTGGAGAAAAACATCGCGAAACATTTATGTGAAATTCGGTTTTTCTTTCCTTTTCTTTTTTTTTCTTACGTAAACGTTCTTACTCCTCCTCCGATCTTTCTCTCTCTCTCTCTCTCTCTCTCTCGAATTCCTTCTCGAAAACGCATTTGCATTTCCCGATCTCTCCCGCGGCCAACTATGCCGTTTTTATCCGATTTATCCACCCTAGCAAAAAAGGGTAACGAGGGAAATTGTGCGCATAAATTCATTAATGAGCGGCCCGCGAGGGAAGTGGTTTTTGTCAAACGATCCTCCGATACAATGCCGCGAACAGGACTTCGGTTGATTGATTTCTGTAATACAGGATGTCGACTAAAAAGTTTTCTAGATTGAGCGGAGTACGGTTGTTTCCTGTGCAAAAAGAGGAAGGGTAGCATGCTCGTATGGTCGTTTATTATGTAAGCTAGGAAAACTAGGTTTTTTTTTTTTTTTTTTTTTTTACCAGATTGATAAAATTGTAATGTAGACGCGTGTGTGTGCGCGTGAATATCTACGTTTACCGGTTGTCGAGTTATATTTAGTTCTAAATTTGATTATTAATTGCGATTATCCTATCAAGATAGGATGAGACAGGTCGCATTGCAAAAATGAATATTAATATAAATCAATGATGGTGGATTAATGATGAGGTAGAACAACTAGAAAAAGAAGAATAAATGCAAGGATTAAAAATTGAATTGATCAGGCGATTGAATTAAAAGATTTCATTTAAAGGAATGAAAAAAAGGAATGTTCCGCGTCTAGATAATCATTCGAAATTGCACGTTCTGGATCTGTTACGAAGAAGGGAAATAAAAGAATCGTGAAAGAAACTGTAAAAATCTAAAAATTTCCCCTTCGAGCACGAATTTTTCTTCCTTAACTGGGTCTTCTTAAAGGAAAAATCCTCGCATACCAAGAATGGAAATAGAAGTAAACCACTGAGATCCTCTTCTTACCAGTTTCCACTTCCTCTCCCCCCCCCCGCATTCTCATCATTTTTAGTTAGAAAAGTAAATCGCAATAAATTTATTAACCAGAAGAAAACTTTCTGAAAACCATTCTGAAAAATATCTTAAATGCCCCTCTTTATATTTCCGCATATATACAATTTCTTGAATGACATTCAGTGTTCACAACTCGGATGGAATATCGTAATCCAAAAAAAAAAAAAAAATATTTTCTCGCGAATAGATCATCGTCAAAGTAAGTTTTTCACGCGTACGTAGGGGATAACAGGCTTAGGAGAAATGTTAGGAGGCGGAAAGGAGATCTCGAGTAAGTCGGCAAACCAGAAGCAAGGATTGCATGTCACGACCTATGCTGCCTTGTAACACTTGCTTGTCAAACAATCTAATCGTTCGGTATTATCATACCAACTCTTGTCGGCAAGTCACCGAGAATATTAGATACACTGTGTACATATCCACGTGTATAAATCACCAGGAGGACGGTAATACGTTAGAAGTAACGGGCCTTCTTCTATTATTCACGACTTGATAGCTACCATCACGAACCTCGTTTTTCTTCGTATACGTGTGTCCTGTCATATAGATTTCCTAGCGGGAAGATGAAGAAACGAAAACGATAGGACCATGAACCGATACATTCGTTATTAGCCTAATTAGTGGAAAAAACAGAGATCCAATATAAGAATCGATAACAAGAAGGAATTCCTTCAAGAGTCTTTTCTCACGCGATCTCTATACTTTCTTTCTTTTTCCCCCCTTGATTCTTCCTGCGATGCTTAGATTCAGATCAGATTTTTCGATTCTTAGGTTAAATTGGATGATGGATAAAAAAAAAGAATTCCACGACTTCTCACTTCTCTAACTTAAACCAGCTTAATAACACCGACGTTAAATAATCAAGGATGAAAATTACATCGAATCATTTCTATCTCTCTCTCGCAATTACCAACGCTCTTCTATTTACCAACACGAGATACAAAAGCGCAAACACTCGAGTCGGCAAACAGTCGAGCAAACCGAAGAAGAAAACGGTTAACGTGTACACCTGATCTCGGCCTCGAGCGAAGATTTTCATCGCGTCACAAATCCAGCCGGATATCGGGTTGGAATACAATATCAGGGGCATCTATTGTACAACCTATATAGGGATATACTACGGTCAAACGAGGTTAGAAGGTTGCCAATTGGTTACACGTACGTTGGTTGGCCTCGCGATGGCCGAGAGAAGAAGACGATCATGAACCCAAGGGGATAGGGGAAGGGGATATTAGATAAAGGTTATAGAAGAGACGTCGAGAGGAGATCCGTGGGAGGAGGCAGGCGAGCCAAGCTAGGAAGGAAGGAAGGAAGGAAGGAAGGAAGGGAGAGTCAGTTGGCAGGTCACGACCTGGACCGCCCGGTCGTAGAATGGATGCAAGCCATCCGACTCTCCCACATACATTAGGGAAGTTTCTCCTAACTTTTAGCCATGGTTGTTGGTCCATACCTACACGGTTACCGTGGTGGCATAGAATCGGATAACCCGCCTAACCTCCTCTTCCCCCCCACCCCCTCCATCGTTAAACCCATCGTCTCCCTCTCGCTTCTTAACCCCTTCCCTTTTAATCTTTCCCCTCGATCTGCCCTCTTTCGTCTCATTTACCTTGTCCTCCCCTCATAAGTAACGAAAGCATCGACTTGTTCATGACCGGGTGTACAGAAAGAGAGAAAGAAGGGTGAGTGGATGAGGAAGAAAGAGAGAGAGAGAGAGGTCCAATCTTTCGAGATATTTTGCTTCGATCATTCAATGGAAAAGTTACTTCATTTCGAGGAGCTGACCAAGATTGGGATGGATATTCTTGCTCCTCTCAACTAACACCACTTTTCCACTCGTTAGTATGCTAATTTATCGAAGCAATTAAATTTTCGCGCCCGATACACCGTGAAATTTATGCTCCATATTTCAGTCTCGGAGGAAGATTACCGATTTAACGAGCATGTACTATTCCCCTCTGTGTATATATATATATCTGTCACGCGTTCTTATTCTCAAAAAAAGAGAATAGCTCTTTGAACATAAAACGCTCGTCCTTTTCTCTCGATTCTTCTTAACAATCATTCGAGATTCGATTAGAATTAATTTTATCTCCGTTTACGATATCTCCCCGCCGCGATATCCTACGCGTTGGTATACACGTTGAAAAACGTCCATCAGCCGAGGACATTAATCAACCGAGATAGTAGCATTACCAAAGATCGTCAGGACAGGAGGAAATCAGGAATTCGTGGGCAAAGTGAAATTTATGCCTTAGCCTCGGATGAAGTTTAACGAGCGATGGCACTATTATCGTGAAAGAATACAACATAATGAAAGTATATATATATAATAAGTAATAAAAATCTTGCAACCTCGAGCGCGTGGTTCCAGCAACGTATACGCAAAACACGAGCGCGTATAACCAGGATATATGTTAAGGGTAACCAGCGATTCGAAACGATAGCCGGGTTAAATGATTCAGGATTGTGTTACGTTTTACGGAATGTTATGCCTTGGCGATCTTCCGGAATTTCGTACGTCATATTACGGGTATGGCACGCGCGTTAATCACCCTGATATTAGCGTAACTTTCTAAAGCGTACAAAGCGTCGGGACGTAATTTGATATTATTATATTACCAGGCACATGAACACACACACATATACGTAGCGGTGGGTAAAAGTGCCGAGCCGCATCAGCCAAGCATCTTTAAAATTAGATTTTCCATCCGCCCTTCTATTATCCTCCATCTTCCTATCTTGCGAATGTGTTTTTATATTCGTAATTAAGTAAGAGGGTAATTGAGATTTAGGGTATTTGCATCGATTGAATTTTTTTTAAGAATTTTTATCTGTCTATTTATTCACCTCCATCTTTTCTATGTTTTAGTTTAGTTATGATATTTAAAACTTGTTTAAAGATAGACAAAGATCTAGAGATATCAAAGGTTAGGTCTAGTGAATGTTTTTCGTAAAGATCTTTTTGATAAACATAACTATATTATAGTAAAAAAGCACGTTATAATATACAATTGATTCTTCGAAATCTATAATAATTGACTCATGAATTACTAAAAGTGTATACTAAAAATCCTAACTTAATCTCTACAAATACAAATTAGATTGTAAAAGATCTTGTTGCACGATAAGAATTCTTTTGGTAACCTTACTTTGTGATATTGATGCTTAAATATTGAAATATTGATTACTAAAAGTCATTTAACCTCTATAAATATTCTATATCAATTAAGATTGTACAACATAGATCTTGTTATACAATAAAGATCCTTTTGATAAACATAACCTTACTTTGTGATATTCAGTAATAATATTGATGTTCGAATATTGAAATATTGATTACTAAAGTCACTTAACTTCTACAAATATCCTATATCTGTTGTTCAATTAAGATTGTACAACATAGATCTTGTTGTACAATAAAGATCTTTTTGATAAACATAACCTTACTTTGTGATATTCAGTAATAATATTGATGCTCGAATATTGAAATATTGATTACTAAAAGTCACCTAACCTCTATAAATATCCTATATCTGTTGTTCAATTAAGATTGTACAACATAGATCTTGTTGTACGATAAAAATCCTTTTGATAATCATAACCTTACTTTGTGATATTAATGCTAATATTAATAATATTAATGCTTGAATATTGAATTATTGATTACTAAAAGTCACCTAACCTCTACAAATATCTTATACCTGTACGATAAAGATCCTTTCGATAAACATAACCTAACTTTCTGATAAACACGTCTATCATATTCAATGAAAAAA